TGCGCCGGGAGCGGGACCATGACGACCAGCACCGGAGGGTGGTCGTAGTTGTTCCCGGCGGTGACAGCGGCGGCAATGGCATGGTTTTGGTTACTCATTTGATGATAGCTTGGAATCCAAAGTACAAGCTGTTTTGTATTTTCCTTTGCAAGTTTCAACTTTCAACTTTAACCCATTTTTATATGCAAGAAGAAGAAGAAGAAAAAAGAAAGAAAAAAAAAAGGAAAAAAATATAATTTTGCCCTGTCCCACAGATTTTCATGTGTTCCAATTCCATATGGTGCATAATTTCTATCAATTATTCAAAAAGGAAAAGAAAAGAATGAAATTAGCCTCTCAAGTGGTATAATTTTATTTATATTATTATATTTAATAGATTAGTGGCTCTTAATGGTACAATGGAACTTCTGTTAATTTTTTAATGTGTCGTATTTATATGAGTTTATTTATATTGCATTTAATTAATAACTAACCTTTTTAACTAATAATAGAAAAATATTTAAGTCCTGAATTTGTTTCAGAGAAAAGTAATGAACTGTCTATTTTTCAACGGTGATACAAATATGATCTCAATAGTCAAGAACCTAAGTATTTTTCAATATATGGCCACATCACAAAGTTAGTAGGTATGAGTTTCTTAGTAGTATGTTTGGTAAGTATTATTTTTTTTTTATAAGGAGAAAATTTTATGTAACTGGGAGAATTTTAAATAATAATAAGAACAACAACAGCATTCCATTTTAAAGTAAAATAAAAATATCAAAAAACAAAAAAAATTAGTCACCAACAAAATCATAACGTATTAATTAGTAAAATTTAAATCGGAGGTTCAAATTTTCGTCTAGTTGTTTTTTTAATTAAAAAAATAAAATCAAAAGATGTCAAAATAATTTACATTGAATAACTCTTGCCAAAATAAACTATAAAGGTGAGGATCATAACAATAATATTTGGGTGCTGACTGCCTTGTTCATCATCTCAAAATTTGAGAGTTCTCATATTTTTCTTTTATATATATACCATTATTCATTTCCCTCTCTAATTTAGTAAAAAATTTTAATGGTGATTGGCAAGAGATAAGTGCTGATGATTATTTGGATCAAAATAGTTATTACTTTTAAAATTCTAAAGTAGACCTTTTTTTTTTTTAAAATTCTGAAACCAGAATAGATATTTTGAAAATTTAAAAACTAAAATGGATGTGGTATATTTAAACTTTAAACTTTAATGGATTACTTGAGTGTGTGTTCATAGAATATGAAGTTTCTAAATATAAATTAATTAGTGAAATCAAATATAGAAAATGGGACTGGTTAGAGACTAGCATGATTCTAAATATCTATCAATATGTTACATTTCAATCGACATGTCAATGTTTTCGTGAGTTCGACATCGATATGAGGGATAGATCGACATTTCCATCATAGTACGGACAAAATATGAAAAATTTCAACAAAAATGCCACTAATATATACATAATACCAATATTAATTATTTTTTTAACTTATTTAGAAATATGAAAATGTTTATTTATTAATTTAAATATTTTTTCATGATTTTTTAATTTTTATAATTTTTACAGAAATATCCATCGATATCGACATTTTATCGATATTTCCATGAAATTGAGATCTCGACGTTTCCATGAACATCGATATTTAAAACCTTGGAGAGTTTTGTTTTGAGTTTTTTTTTTCTTTTCTTTTCTAGATGATAAAACTAAGTCCTTTTGGAATCTTAGCCAAAGTTTCTTTAAAAAGTTCTAAATACTTTTTGTAATTCTTAAAATTTTATTAGTATTTTAAAATTAATACTTTCTTAATTCTCAAAAATGGACTAAAATTAAAAAATAAATAAATTTATTTATCAAGTCTCAATTCATTTATGATTTTCAATTTCAAGAAGCCAGTATTCTTTTCCTATGGAATGAAAGTTCTAATTTGTTGGATTTTTTTCCCTTTAATCTCTAATTAATTAATTACTTTGATGATAACAAAACGCACACGAACCTAAGACCTCATGCTAAAATATAAAAGTTACAAAAAGAAAATATTTTACTTATATTTGCATGTGGTTTTTTCCATTTTAAATGACCTCAAGCAAACTTATATATATATAGATAGATCCATCATATACATATATATAACTGCAAACTACTCAACTATTCTCCCACCGGTGAATCATATACTCAAAATTAAATGCAATGTAAATTAACACTGCGAAATGTTACCATTATGCTATACTAAAAAAGAATTATAATATTTTTTAAAATACATATTAAATTTAGAATATGGAGTGAAAATGTTCTAATTTCAAGATATCATAGTTTATTTTAGCTTCTTTTAATGCAATATGTACCGATGAGAATTGGAATTCATGGCCCTTTGATTGTAAATATGTGTCTTAATTAACTTATGTTAATATTGATTTTTGTTGTTTTAATTATATAATATAATTAGTTTTTAATGTTCAATGCATTATCAATGAAGTTGTGATACTCCTACAAAATATTGTATTAATTTTGTGATATTTATTTGTATACCATCTCAATATTACCAAGTTATCGTACTTTTGTCTTTACAATTTGTTATATATATTGAGATTTTTTTTGTTGAGAAGGTTATATATCGAGATTTGATATCTCTCTAATTCTGTAAACATACAAATATAATTAGTAAAACAAAAATGATGGATTATATATCATAAATTTGTTATAATTAAAGTATCATAAACTAATTCAAACAATTTCCAAATATCTATACTTTTTACGGTTTTTTTAATTTCCTTGAATATCAATATTTTCATAGAGATATTAGTTGTATTTAATTTTTAGATATATAATACATTAAAATGTAAGTCATAACCTACTTAACCAACGATTAGAGTCTTATTTGTTAATGCAATAATTTTTCTTAATCAATTTTTACGATTTTCATTATTATTTTAAAAGGATTTGTTGACATAAATATATTTTCATAAAATCAGATGAGGTGTATATCGATTAGTCAAGTTAGCTTTTAGGCCAAAATCCCAACCGATCGACATATAATTTAGGGGTGTTCAAAAATCCGGCAATTCGACGAACCTGATGAACCCAACCCAACCCATGGGTTGGATTAGATGAAGCTTTTCGTTTGGGTGGGGTTGGGTCTTGGGTTCAACCTTTAAAAAATCAGGTCAACTCAACCCAACTCGAATTTATGCATATATATGTATATTTTAAATTATATATACACACACATGCATACAATGTTCATTTAGTTTTAATCCTAGCCCTTCATTTAAGTTTTCCTATTATCT